CCCGGCCGCCCGCCCGCCCGCCCGCGCTCCTGCTCGCGCTCCGGCTTCCAGGGCAAGTGCCAGACAGCTGCGAGAGAGGGGACGAGGCCTGCCAAGCCCTCGGCCCCCCTCTGCTGGCAGCTGCGGCGGCTGCAAACGTTTTCCTGGGACACACTGGCCGGACAAGATAGGAAAAGGGGGGGGACGCCGGGGGGCCCCCCGAGACCCTCTGCTCCGAGAGGAGGGGCATCGGAGCGGCTCATGGAGGGCCCGTGGCCTGGACCATGGCCCCCTGCCCAAGAAAAGGCCTGGGAAACTGGGCAGAGGCTCGCCGACCCCTCGCTTCCGGGGTGCAGGGGGGCAGCATAAGTCAGCACTGGGGAATGAGGAAGGGAGGCGTCCTCCAACCACGGCCGGAGCGCCCCCCCGGGTTCCCCTGCCCTGACCCACAAGATGCCCCCCCAAAAGCCGACGGCGGCTCCCGCACCCCCATTTTCAAAATCTCTGCCAAAGAGGATTGGCACCACCTGGGGAGCAGAGGCTGAGCGGCCTTCGCCCACGGCAAACCCGCCCTGGCAGGACCGGCGTCCTCTTCCAGAACGGTTGTGAGGCTCCCAAGCCCCCCCCTTTTTGCAACCCAAGCCGCCCCGATTGGCTGCCCCCTCCCCCTCTCTGGAGGATCATCACGCCATGGGCTCAGAGAGAGAAGAGGGGACCACACCTGGCACAAGCCGAGAGAAAAATCATCCTTAGGCCAGGTTTAAAAAGGAAACTGGACCCTTGTTAGCAAAAGGGGGGGGGGAAGAGGTTGAGAAAAAGGGAGGGAAGCCCCTTTTCCTTCTGGCGACTGCAGGCACCCACCCACTCCGGGGGAGCTCAGCAGCCCTCGTGAGAAGGGGAAGAAAGAAGGTTCCCATCCCAGCCAGCGGCCCCGATGGCGAGGAAGAGGAGGAGGAGGAGGGCGGCCGCAGGCAACCCCAGCCCTTCCCCTCGGGTGACTCACCTGCCAGCCCTCGGCCCCTGGGAACCGCCGGCTTCCCACAGGCCGAGGGAGGGAAGGCCGAGACCTGCCAGAGGACGGAGGAAGCAGCACCAACCTGGAGGGGAGGGGAGGGGAGGGGAGGGGGTGCAGCACTTCCCCAAAAACACGGCAGCAAAGACAGGAAAGCAGCCACAGAGGCCACGAGAGGTCGGCCGCCTCCCCTCCGCTTCCCTCTGCTCTGATGAGCCGGGCATTCCCCGACTCCCTCGCACGCACGCACGCACAGAAAGACTTGCTTCCCCTCGCCCTGACCCCGGGAGCCGGGCCAGGGCAGGGGCACCCCCTCCGACAGGTGGGGAACCGCTCAGCCGCCCCAGGAGTTGGAGGAGAAGCTTTGCTTAGGGTGTTTCGCCACTTCGTTGAAAAAGAGAGAGAAAAACGGCACGCAAGTGTTTTCCAGAGGCCCTGAGAAAAGGGAGGGGGGAGGAAAAGAAATGCACCCACAGAAACCACAACAAGGAGCCAAGCCAGGAAGGGGCCAAAGCCGCAGCTCAAGAGGATCCCAGGAAGCCCAGAACCACACTCGTGCCCTTGGCTGGATTGTGTCCCTTCTCAACACACACACACACACACGGCAGAAAGGAGAGGGGCAACAAAGAAGATGCACCGCCAGTGCTTGTTCTCAGGCACCCTGTGCGCGCATATGCATAGGCACAGGTCCGACTCCTCTGCAGGAGGGGGGCATGGTGTGTGTGTGTGTGTGTGTGTTCAGAAGATGCTGTCTCTGGCTGGAGTGCATTGTGGCACACACGCACAAACACACACCCTTCAATTATCCTCTCCCAAAGACAGCAAACGTCAGGTTTGGTGGCAGAACAAAAATACGAGGGCCAGCCACTTTGGGGAGGAGGAAAGCTGCCTCGGCCCCTTCTCTGCTCTCGGGGGGTGGGCACAGCCAGGCCACCCCAGGGGTACCCAGGGCCCGGGCGAGGGCTGTGAGAACTCGGAACCTTCCCCCAAAGGACCAGGGCTCCCGGCCTGATGCCCACTGGAGGGTGTGAGGGGTGTGTTTGCGTGTGTGCACGCACCACGCCTGGGGCTGAGCCCCCGAGGGTCCAGATCCCTGACGGGAAGTCAGGAACCGAAGAAGGGAAGGCGTCCAAAGCAGCAGCTGTAACTCCTCTGCTGTCTGCACGTGCAGAAAAAAAAGGGGTCAGGATGGAGAGGTGCGGCTGTTCCAAGTTAAAAACGGTTACTTCAGGTTTGGAAGGAAACCCCCAGATCTGTTCTTTATCAACAGAGGCAAAC